GTGTTTTGTACATTGTGAGATAATAAAATTTATTAATTTAAAAAATTAAAAAACTATTGGAGGTCGTTTTTGACATCAGAAACTAGCTTTAAATAACTTTACCGAAGTAAAATCCGTGCACTACAACTTTAGAACCATGAATAAAATTTGATAAAAAAGTCTCATTAAAAAACAATTAATTGTTAATCATGCGTCATTAAAATCGCGATAAAATTTTTTCGCGCGGGAAAAAAATTTTGAAAAAATTTAGAGACTTAAAAAACATCTTCCCAAAATTTTTTTTCTCGGGGGTCCTCACGCCCGGATTTTTGTAACGCTATGGGACTTGCTCGAGACAGACTCGAGCATGGGTAGGAAGGGAACTTTTAATTAACATTTAAATTAGCAATTAGCTTACTAATGACAGAACTAAGTAATTTACACTCCTTAAGCAAAAGACTGCCGAAAATAAGAAAACAATTTAGGCACAGCCGTGACTATGAAACCAAAACCAAAATTGAAATGTGAATTACTGTACTGTATTAATAATTCATATTTCGGTTTTGGTTTTGGTTTTATAGTCACAGCCATGCCTATAAAAGTTGATCCGAAAATTTGAGAGATAGAGAGAGAAAGAGAATTGTCGAACTCAGTCTTAGAGAACATTTATATAAGGTACTGTACTGTACAGTACATATAAGGTACTGTACATTAATACATCTTTTATTCTAATTACTGTATTTAGCCTTTTGAAGTAGAAAACTAGAATTATCAATTTATTTATATCATAGCTAAATTAAATTATTAAATTAGATTAAATTATTTTGATTTTATATGGCAAGAATAAAGTATCAAATAAGTACTGTAAAGTAATTAAATATCTACTAATGTGGAGTAGATAATGATAAGGACTTAGCACAGCAGTATTAATTAAAAGTAAAAGACCAAGATTATATTCTTTTAAATTCTAATGTAATCAAAAGTTCTGGTTTAACCAATCCCGAGATATAATACAAAAGATTAGCCGAGACATACACATCTCACGCAGAGAATTTTGTAAGGGTATTTTTACATTTTTGGGTTTTTATAATTAAAAACGATGCGTATGTTAAACATACGATACCATCATTTGGGCGCCATGTTTGAAATAGGAGTGCGACTACTGTACTTACAACGTGCATTGTCTCTGAAATTTCTGTTGGCCTACGTTAAGAGAATGTACAGTACATTACGTTTACAATAATTCTCAACAATCGTAAAACTAATGAAAACGTAATATCAGTTGTGTATGATCGGATATATTGGGGATCCGGTAGTACAACTTCCTCTCTAACATGGCGTCGAAATGATGGTAGCGTGTCGTACCACGTGTAATTACTTAAGTTTTTCAATTGCTTGTATTTTTAATTGGTAAGATGTAATCGCGCAAAACGTGTGTGCTACGTTAATTAAATAGATTTCAAATGTGTAAGTTACATTGGTCACCGTTAGATTTCTTGATATTTTATACTCTGGCATTATGTGGCACAGTCTGACATGTCAGAAAGTGATATTTTATGTCTGTGTCCATCTTAAGTATTTATTAGTATACTTGTTGCGAGATGTTTATTTGATGAAAGAAATATACAGGAATATTTGCATTATAACTGTACTAAGTTGGCAAGAATTGATTTGATTGTTTCAATTAAAGTTAAACTATAGTAACTAACCAAGTGTCTGTGGAGGTCTTCTGGCCTTTTATTTATATCTGCTTTCCTTTGTACTGATGGTTGTTGTGATTGGTGAAAGGCATGGTTGATGGAGAACTTTCGTCAGAAAAACTTGCTTCTCCTTTAACTTTTGTTCATATACAATAGGATGGATTCTTATAGAAAATTTGAGAACTGGGAAGTAAAGGCTTCCACTAAATACTTAACAAAGTTATGTTGGAATGTCTATTCAAATTCCTGTCTTTTTTGTGGTCTCTGACTCCTGATGGTCTGATAAAGATGTTGCTACATAATACTAAATTCAGTAATGATGTTCGTATGTTACACATATAATTAACAATTATTCTAATAGCAACACCAGCAATTTAATGGGCTCCAGAACTAGGAAACATTTGGTGA